CTGCAGGAACTCTGAACAGTTCCGGCACTGTGGTGAAGGGCAGACTCCGTGGACTCCCAGTCTGACCCACACAGGACTTTGCCAGGGCCGTCTGGGAAACTGGAGAGGAGATGATGCAGAAGCTTAAGGAGAAATGAGTGGGGGCATGAATTTCTCAGGTGCGACCAGCACCCCACCACAGAGGATGACCCTGAGAAGCACATCTAGTGAAGGGGGATGCCCTGTGCTGTGAGCCTCTATCCGATGGCCTCGACAGAGGGAGATGCACCCACTGACAGGGCTCTTAGCTTCATGGGCGTGGTGGGATACCAGAGGAATGGAGGCTGAGGAAGAGCAAGACTCTACCCATCTGAGCCAAGGTAGGCACACCTGCTGTGAGGGAGCAGGGCTCGGGGCACAAATGGCACATGTACTTTTGTCCCGAAGTGCTTGTTGATGACAACTGCATGGTCCCAGTCCCCAGAGGAGAGATTGGAAGGATGGCTTTCTGAATGTTAATTTCTCCCCTGCTTCTATGTATTTTTTTTCTCAGTTTTTTCACTGTGGCAAGATGCGTGTAAAATTTACCTCTGGGAGGAAAACTTGATCTGAGAGTCAGAAGCCTGGCTTGAGTTACTCTTGTGGAAAGGCACGGTTCCCTTAGCCTGGTTCCAGATCCCCCACTGAGGGACTCCGAACCCCTCAATCCAAGGGGAGGCCAGGCTGCCTTGAGGAGGCTTTCAGCACTGCCCGAGGGATGTGTCTGGGGATACCCTTTCTGGTCTTCCCCGGAGGGGCTGAGTGCACAGCTGGAAGAAGTGGCTGGCCTGTGCTTCTGATAGTCAGGTGATGCATAGAATACTGGTTCAGGGTCAAGTTCCCGTGGGGCTGGCTGTTTGCACACCTGTGTCCTGGCTGTTGACTCTCTGCTTAGCTCTGTAACTGGTGTAGATGTGTTTGAGATCCCGCAGACATGCCCACCTTGGTCCTCTGTGAATTGAAAGCTATCACAGCAGAGCAGAGGAGAGTGTGCATATGGGAGCCTGCATCCCACCCGTAGGGCGGGGGTGACACACAAGTGCTCCCACTGAAGACTTGGGAGGGCATGCAGACGCCACTCGTGTCCCGAGCTAGCTTGCCCGTTTGGCCTGTACAGGAGGCAGCGTCATCTTAGAGAGAGCTTGGGATTATTGACAACCTGATCAGGTGGGGACTCCAGTCTCAGCCGTTGTTCACAGTTGGTTATCTTTTTGGAAAAAAAGATTCAGCATAGCTGTGCTTCTTGTTCTGAAGTCTCTGGTGTGCAAGGGTGATGAGTGTGGTCTGTACCTGGAGTGGCCAACAGTGCACATCTTGGTCTTGCCTCTCTGCCAGGTAGACACCGTGCACTCTTTCACCCCCAATTCTGTGATATCTCAGTCTTACTATGACTCCTGGTACAGTCATCGGTGTCATGATGATTGAGCTTGATTAAAGAGGAAGAGATCTATGCTTGAGATGTTTTAGGCATGTTCAGAAAAATTGATCTTACAATGTCAGTTTCCACAAATTTTTAAAATAAGTTTTAAATTATTTTTATTTGAAAGGTAGATTCCACACAGAGAAGAGAGACAGAGAGTGGTCTCCTACCTGCTGGTTCACTCCCTAATTGCCCACAGTGGCCAGAGTTGAGCTGATCTAAAGCTGGGAGCCAGGAGCTTCTTCTAGGACTCCCACATGAGTGCAGGGACTCAAGGAATTAGGCCATCCTTTGCTGTCTTCCCAAGTGATGGGCCCAGCATGCGCTGGGATTCCACTTCCCATCCATGGCCTGGGAAAGTAGTGGAGAGTGACCCAAAGCCTTGGGACCCTGCACCCATGTGGGAGACCTGGATGAAGCTCCTGGCTTCGTTTGAATTGGCTGAGCTCCAGCCATTGTGGCCACTTGAGGAATGAACTGGCATATGGAAGATCTTTCTCTCTGCCTCTGCTTCTCTTTGTAAAACTTACTTTCCAGTTTAAATAAAATAAATCTTAAAGGCAAAGCAATCAGGATACGTATCAGCTCCCATATGGGATGCTGACACTGCAGGAGGAAGCTTAGCCTCCTATGCCTTGGTGCTTCTTTGAAGCATTCTCACATAATGGAGTGTCCCACTGGGAAAAAAGAAACCACAGAAACTATTTTAGCTGAGACTATGAGCATTGGTTAAGCAGATCCTAGAGGACCAGGAATGAGAGCCAAGGTAACTGAGATGCAATAATGGCAAGAGCCTTCATCCCTGGGTCTTGGGACCCCAAAGCATGAGATAGGGGCTGTCAGAGCCCAGAGGCCTTTACTGCACACATGAGAGATCCAGAAGAAACTCATGGCTCCTAGCTTCAGACTGCTTCAGCCCTGGCTGTTGCAGCCACTTGGGAAGTGAACCAGTGAATGTTGTCTCTTATTCCCTGTCTGTGCTCTCTCTCTCTGTAAGCTGGAGTTGGAATTACATGGCTTGCCTTCTGCCTCTCTTGCCTGTGCTTTGTGACCTTTGCTGTACTGTCAGAACCTTCGTTTTTCATCTTCAGCATGTGGCTCATGCCTGTGTTGGAGAATGGGATGCTAACAGAAATAATGTCATACCTCTAGCAAAGTGGCTGGTCCACCTACACAGGCAGGTCGTGAACACTGCAAGCAAGGAGTGACACTGCAAACTTTTGCTAGCGGGATGTGGATGGCAGCAGAACTACCATGTTGCTTGGAGAACGGGCTTGTTTTTAACCTGTCCATCTCTCAGAGGCAGGCAGAGTGTGAATCGGGATGCAGTGTTTGAGGGATGGGGCGGCATCCAGTGTTGCTTGCTGGTTCTGCAGGTTTGCTAATCACATGATTCTCTGCACTGATGCCCTCAAGTTAAAGCTGCCCGAGCTATTGTGAGGAACAGCAATGAAGCCTGGGACATGCCCTGCGCTGTGCCTGGGGGCTCATTCATGGTGCAATTTTGCTCGTGGAGTCCTTCAGTCTTCATATTAAAAATTGTTGGTAGGGGCTGACGCTATCGCACAGTGGGTTAAGCCATTGCTTAAGATGCCAGCATTCCCATAAAAGAGGACTGATTTGAGTCCCGGCTGTTCTGCTTCTGATCCAGCTCCCTGCTAGTGTGCCTGGGAGGCAGCAAGTGATGGTTCAAGTACTTGGGTCCTTGCCACTCATATGGGAAACCTGGATGAAGTTCCAGGCTACTAGCTTGCTCTGGACCAGCCCTAACGTTTGTGGTCATTTGAGGGGGAACCAGTATATGGAAGATAGATTATCTCTTTCTCTAGCTCATACTGCCTTTTAAGTAAGTAAATAAGTGAACAACAGATTTCTTCTGAAAAGGAGTTGTTTGTGACAGAAATGAATGTGACAGTAGTCTTGTGCATGGGAATGTGCATGGAAAGACAGGCATCACCACTTATTTAATGGACATTTATCAAGTTAGAATTTTTAGATATTTTGTACTCTGTCTCAAACACAATTGCATATCCAATAAATAAAGCTACATGACCGTTATATGTGTGATGTTGGTGAATAATTTTATAATAGGGGATACAGCTTGAGTTTTAGGATACTAAAGGGTTCATAACTGATAATAGATGAAAAATAATTTACTGTTTTCTTTAGATTTGAGGAAGTGAAAGAAACATTTTAAGACCCTGAGGATATCAATATGCAGAGTTAGGCAAAGAGGGAAAGAGTTGAACTGTGCTGGTTTGTAATCAGATGTGAAAAGAATTGCTGTGGCAGGAAACATGAGACAATGAGAGTGTTGTGGTCTACCAGTTGTAGCTCTGAAAACCATTTACCCATAATATTAGTTACACAAAACAAAGCCAACAGTTCTAATAATCTTGAATGAATTTGTCTTCATCATTTTCCCATTAATTGTATTAGAGGGTCAGAAATCCATTTTAGTTTAAAGTAGTCAGTAGCAGGTTGTCATCCATGTTAGTAAGCATAACACCAATTTCCTTACCGGCTAACTTTGACACCTTGGAGTTAAACAACAAGTGAACATTAGGGGGAGGTTGGCAAAGCTGATGACTATGTGGCAAATTGAGGTTCTGTGTTCCATGTGCATAAATGAGGTCTCCTGGTGGCTTTGGCGATCTGTTGGCATGTTAGCTGGGTTCCAGCAAGATCACGGCCAAATCTGCGCTTTCCTTTTTTATAGACTTGGGATGCACTGGCTAATGCCATGAAGCCAAACCTCACACACACCCACAGTCTCAAATATTTGCAGCTTTTATGGGAGTGGAGTTGTAGTTTGACAATTTCTAGAATCACAGAATGCAGTGAAGATGTTTCAGGCTGCCATCCTCCTGACCGATGCCCCTTGAAATTGCCCTCCGAGTTCGATGAGGTGTGTTTGCACTTTGTTGAGTTGTGTTCTTCCTCTCGGACAGGTAACAGAGCTAGTTAGCTAGTACTTGCAGGAAACCTTTCTGAATGAGACATTTCCTCCCTTTCTCTGTAGTTGATCATGTAGAAAATGGTGCATGCTTTTAGAGAGAAGGAAATCAAATTGGCTTCAGTTCTTTCTGCACTAGCTAGACCTTTCAGCACCTCTGTTTGCACCACTGAACTGGCAGAAACACTGCAACCGTGCTTAATACTGGAAGGGATCTTGAGACCATCTGGTTGACCTGTTGCTTTACAAATAGGCACAGGTGATGGGGTGCCCACAACCTGCCGTCACAGGGAACAGGGGGCACCGCCAAGGGAGCTTCCTGACACCTGAGTTATGTTTGTGTTCTCCACAACCCCAGCTGCCCTCAGTTCCTCATCGTGTTTTGGCAGTTGTTTGGTTGATTGGCACATTTTGGTAAGTAGAAAATTACCAGGCTTTAGTTTATTTACTTATTTATTTGCATATAGATGATTGAGGTGGAGCCAGAATACCGTATTTACAGAATTACATTCTAGATGGAAACTCAGAAGTCCCTTTTGGTTCATAAACAAAAATGAAGTCTCTGTGTCACCAGGTGGCTCATGGCAAATGTTTGTAACTTTTCAGGGCAGAGGAGTCGATAACAGAAGACGACAAGAGGAGGTATGTTTGGCATTACAGTGGCTTTCCGCATGAGTAATTCTGTCCGTACCTTATAGACCCCACAGATGGTAACACGTGACCAGTCATGCAGTCTACCCCAGGAGAACTTTGGCATAGGGAACGCAGGTGGGAGCGTGTGATCTGGAAGAGAACTGGCCTGGAATTCTTCATCTTGGCCTCTTCCCAGGAAGGCTGGGTTTTATCCTGTGCAGCCAGCTGAGCTTCTCTCTCTAGGGTGGATTTCAGGATGCTCGTTGTAGCTGCATGACTTCTCTTTCACTCTCCATCCTCTCTGCTCTCCTCCTCCTTGGAGAGGAGACTGCTGTAACTACTGAGCACTCTCACTCCCTCACTTTCTGTGGCGCTCTGGATAAAGTTTGTAGGCCAACAATGTTGCATTGCAGGTAAGCTGCCGCTTGCAATGCCAGTATCCCATATTGGAGAACTGGTTTGAGTTCCAGCTTCTCTGCATCCATCACCCACCCTGTATAGGCGCCTGGCAAAGCAGCGGACGGTGGCCCAGCATTTGGACCTCTGAGCTCGTGTAGAAGACCTGGATGGAGTTGTTGGCTCCTTGGTTTTGGCCTTGCCCAGACCTGGCTGTTGTAGCCATTTGGAGAGTGAACCAGCAGATAGAAGATTCGTATTTTCTCTCCTCTTTCTCTCTTCCCTCTCTGTCTGCCACCCTTCTATTTTCTTTTCTTTTAAAGATTTATGGTGCTCGTTTCGGCAGCACATATATATTAAAAGTGGGACGATAAAGATTTATGTATTTTTTCTTGGAAGCACATATTTATAGAGAGACAGGAACCAAGAGAAAGCTCTTCCACGTGCTGGTTTACTTCCCAAGAGGCTGCAGCTGCTGGAATGGAGCCAAGCTGAAGCCAGGAGCCAGGATCCTCTTTCAGGTGTTCCACACAGGTACAAGGTCTTAAGGCCTTGGGCCATCCTTGACTGCTTTCCCAGGCCACAATTAGGGAGCTCAATGGAAAGTGGGACCACCGGGATTAGAACTGGTACCCGTGTGTGATCTTGGTGCATGCAAGGTGAGGGCTTGAGCCAGTAGGCTACCGTGCTGACCCCTCCTCGGCACCCTTTTTAAGGATCTATGTATTTTTATTGGAAAGGCAGATTTACTAAGAGAAGGAGAGAAAGATCTTCCATCCACTGGTTCACTCTCCAAATGGCTGCAGTGGCCAGAGCTGGGCCAATCTGAGGCCAGAAGCCAGGAGCTTCTTCTAGGTCTCTCATGTGAGCCCAGGATTCCAAGGGCTCTAGTCGTCCTCTGCTGCTTTCCCAGGCCACAGGCAGGCAGCTGGATGGGAAGTGGAACAGCTGGGACACGAACTGGCAGCCATATGGGATCCTGGCACTTGCAAGTAGACCGTTAGTTGGTTGAGCCATCATGCCAGGCCCTCTACTTTTTTTTTCTTTTTCTTTTTGACATTATTTACATAGCTAATTAGGGTAAAAAGGTTCAAGGGCTACAGGAAAGTGGGTAAGATTATTATTTCCATATTGTTTCCTTCATTAGGCCCTCTACTTTTAAAATAAATTAATTTTTAAAAATTTGGTGGAGAATAAAGTTACAACATAATCAATTTTAGTGCAGAATTTTTTGAAATCCCTGTATAAGTGGGATCTTCAATAAGTTCCTGGAAAATGCACATTATGAAAAAACAAACTACAGATTACAAATGTTGTATGTATTTTTCCTGTAAGTGAAATATTTCTGTGTGTCCATAACACCTAATACCATGTTGACCACTCTGAATTGATAATATGTGTTGCTGGATTAATTGTTGCTTGTCACTCTAATGATAATTTAGTGTTATACTGAATTATAACTCTTTCTCATTGCCAGTAAAAATCTCTCACAATCCTACTAGGCCAGTGTGACTTTGTGAATTTTCACTAGCTTCTTTTTAATAGAAAAAAAAATATGTATTTCCAAGGACAGTAATATTGTAAAATTGTACTTTTGAAAAATCATGAGTGATTTTTAACAGTTTACATAATTGCTTGAAGTACTCCTTGCTTCTTTTGCATCCTATAAATATATGGAACCATTTCATTCGATCTGATTTCTTTTCTTAAAGAAACTACGGAGGCGTCTATGTTGGCCTACCATCTGAAGCTGTCAGTGTGGTGTCCAATCAAACAAAGGCTGTGCGCAAAAGTAAGCCAAATGGTATTTATTCTCAGTATCTTCATGTTTTATGGAAAAATAGAACATTTTTATTTCAGCTCGTTTGACTCAACCTACGTGTGACTGAGACACGAAGAGCCGTAAGAACTACCTGTTCTTGGGATCGTGTGTTGAAGATGCCACCCACAAGTGTAGAGTCATTCCAGAGCAGGATTTAGCTTTTATTTGTGGTTATGCACCCCTAGGTGCTTACAGTTTCTAAACTCCAGTGACGAGCAGTGTGGACATGAAAGCCAGCATTTAAAACATGTCACGGAGTTTTTGCAGAATGTAAAGGCAAATTCCTGTGATCTAAAGGTGATGACTTTCACCTGATGAGGAATAGAAACCTCGCTGTCTATTGTACAATTAAACAAAGCAAAGGTCCCTTTTCTCAGCTTTGACAGTGAAGTCTTTGTGTAAGTAACAGGCAGCAGCATCTCAGAGAGGGGCCTCAGGCAGGGTGTAAGTGAGGCTTGCCGTAAAGAATGCTGATGGAGTCCCTGCCGGATTGATGGGTAGTTCTATACACCTGTTATTGATACATGTCGTTTGCATCCAAGGCGGGCTCTTGCTGTCTTTGAGAGACTATAGTTATGTGGGCCCATTTCCATTTTGCTAGCAAATGTGTGCATGTCGGTCACTGTTTGTAGTTTTGTGGGAAACTAGAATTTGCTGCTTATAATTTGAACAGTTAACCTTTCTTCATTTTTTTCTTTAAGATTAGAAGAACCTCACACGACTCAGTAACCAAGAGGTACTGTATGTTTTTCTAACGTGATTCTGTGTATTTGTTCTGGAGGATGACTGACAGCTGTTACTGTTACGTGTTTCTAAGATCTTGAACTTGGGGATTAGAGGGAGGCATTTCTCCTGTGGGACTGAGTGTGTTTTAACACATTTCCAGCCGTTTTACAGACATCTCATTTTGGTTACAATACAAAGCGTCTCCCTGCGTCTTTGCCCTCTCACCCTTCTGCAGTGTCAAGGACCGCGAGGGCCTTGTTGTACGTGACAGGCCAGGAGAGAGCATGAGATTAGCACTCGTGTCAGTAACCAGGGGCGAGTTAGTATTGAGGGAGGAGGTGTCCCGTCCCAGAACTCCAGCCATGGTGGCAGGCATCCCTGCACAGGGAGGCAGGGAGGAAGCACGGAAATCCTGCTTCTCACAATCGAGCTTTCCTGCAGAGGAGTTAGTCAAGATGCTCCTTCCCCCTCGAGCTCAGAGTCCAGATCCGCAGACGATGATTTAGCAGTATTAGAGGAGGCAGCCCAGTTTAGACAGCTGGTAAAATGCCCCTTCCGCATCCGTGGCTGTAAGTATGCGTGGCTGTTGATGGTCACCTGTCTTGAGTCTCGGCATTCTCCATTCTTTTACTGTTTCCAGTGGGACCCTGAGTTTTGCTTTATGCCACCTTAGAATTGCCTGGAAAATTCTCCTAAGTCAAAAGGCTGTTTGTCTTCCATGGTAGCTCCATGTCCCCATGGGACTTAACTGTGACAAGTGTGCTGCACTCCTGGCTTTCTGGACCTCAGTTATGGGATAGAAACTTGGAGGTGGGCAGTGTCCTCATGAGAGAAAGGTGTGCTATGGGAATAATCAGAAAAACTTTGTTCTGACCTTAAAATCTAGAACTGGACATGGCCCCATGGCATAGGAGGTTAAACCTCCACTCACGGCTCCCGTGTTCCATGTGGCACTGGTTTCAGTCCTGGCTGCTGTTACACTTCTGATGTAGCTCCTTGCTAAAGGCAGTTGGGAAAGCAGTGGGAGATGGCTCACGCCCTTGGGCTTATGTGCGAGACCTTGGCTTTGGATCAGCCCAGTTCCAGCTGTTGCAGACATTTGGGGAGTAAATCAGCAAACGGAAGAGATCTCTACCTTCCTTCTCTCTCTGTAAATCTGTCTTTTGAATAAAAACAAATAAATCTTAAAAAAAAAAACTGCATGAACTAGATCCATTTAGTGACCAAAGTTTAGGGTGTATGTATATGTGTTAACAGAGAGGGTGAGACCTTTATTCCCTACGATGGCTGGGGCTGGGCCAGGCTGAAGGCAGGAGCCAGGAGTTTCTTCTGGGTCTCCCACATGGTGCAGGGGCCCAAGCACTGGGGCTGTCCTCCCATACTTTTCTCAAGAGAATTAACAGGGAGTTGGGTCAGATGTGGAGGAGCTGGGGTTGGGATGTCAGTGTCACAGGTCAGCATCTTCTCCCCCTGTACCACAGTGCCAGCCCCCAATGTTCAATGTGGATTTGGCTACTTTTTGAATGCAACTGAGAAATGATTTTGGAATTCCTGGAGATGATTAAAATGATCATACACAAGTGTAGTTTCCTCTGTGGGTGACTCTAGGGAGGAGGGAGGATCCTTTGGGATGTGTGAGGGCTTCCCGGTACTTGGCCTCAAATGCTAGATGGCGGACAGCCTGCGGGTGCTGGCCAGGACGGGGGAGCCTGAGGCTGAGCCCAAGAAGCGTGTGTGTGTGTGTGTGTGTGTGTGTGTGTGTGTGTGTGTTTAATTTGGATGATGCTGGCGTGCCTGCAGGTAGGTTTTACCATGTTTATCATGTTGTGTTTCAACCAAGAGGTCTCTAAGTCTTCTTAACCGTCCCACTTGGATTCTTTCTTATAGTTTATAATGTCACCAGGGCCCAGCGTCACACTTGACCTCATGTTGAGTCAGATCAGTGGATCTGGGTGGGCCATGCATATGTGATTTCCTTAAAATCCGTAAATACTTGGCAGGCCTAAGGGTTTTTATTTATTTTTTTGTTTGTTTGTTTTTAATCTGAGTTCTACCTTTGCCAATTGGCTGTTTTCCTCTTCTGTGTTGGTTGTCTCCACAGGTTGTCCATCCGTCTGGAAGGAATGTGGCTCCGGTGATGTTGTAACGTGCACAGCTGTTTCTGTGGAAATTGCCAACACTTGTCCTCGGCTCCCCTGCTCCTCCAACTCCTAGGTGCACGGTTAGACTCACGGGTGCAGATGGTAGTGGAAGTGGGTGCTGAGACAACACGCTCCATCCTGGAATGCTCCAGATCCACCTGCCGTGTCAAGGTCTCAGACTGGGAGGTGGCCTTGTCCCACCCGACCGCCGGCTCCACCCACACCATGTCCCCCAGCCACTCCCCTCATGCCTTTTCACGGATACTTTTTTGATAGTTTTTTTACATGACAAAATCCTTGTTCTGTTTATAATCTAAAAGAATAAGCTGATCTAACTGAATTCCCTAAAGTAATATATTCTTTCTCATTTCTACTTCCTGTTGCTTTTTAGCTGTAAAATGGGTGAATTTATTCTTATTACACACAAACAAATGCACACAAACTCTGTCTCCCTCCCCCCTATTTTTTTTTTTTACTGTTTGGTTTTCAAATTTTATTTAAATACCCAAGATTTTCCTTTATCACGAATAGTGTTTTACATTGACATATTTAAAAGGAAACTTGTTAAATTTGCATGCAGTGTGCACCTGTTGATTCAGTATCTGTCTCCTCTAGTCAAGGCTTGTGTGACCACAGATAGATACTTGAGAGCTCGCTGAGTCTCCCGTTCCACTTTGGTGTGATTATCTCAGCTCTTCATGTGAATTCTGTATTTTCAAGGACCTGTGATTGAGGACTAGTGGGATATTTGGAAAGTCCTTAATTTGATGATGATATGTGTCTGCTCAATACGGCAATGTAAATTACTGTGTTTACCAGTGTATTTCAACGATTAAAACATTTTTAGCCTTCTTTACCTGAATTTTCAGTTATGTTTGAAAACGGTTTTTTTTTTTTTTTAGAGGTTTACTCATTTGGGAGACAGAATGTCACAGAGGCAGAGCCAAAGAGATATTTCATTTGCTGGTTCATTCCCCAAATGGCCCCAACACCCAGGTCTGGACTAGGCTGAAGCCATGAGTGAGAAATTTCCATCCGGATTTCCCACATGAGTTGCAGGACCAACACATCTGGACCGATCTTTACCCACTGCCTTCCTGGGTACATCAGCAGAGAGCTGAATTGAATTAGAACAGAACTAGGCACTCCAGAACCATAGGGGGTTCCATGTTACAAGCAGAAGCTTGACTTGGCATACTACATTGCTGCCCCCCCAATAAACCCTTTCTGAAAGCCAAAGGTGTTCACAACAAGAAGGCATTCTCATCTGTTAGGTCCGTGTGGCAGCCTTAGGGGCACTAAATTTGTGTTAAGAAAAAAGTCAGACTTACAGACTTGGTAGTTTTCATGATATCCGCAGTCCTGTCTGTTTATCCCCAAGTTCATAACTGCTTTTCGGTGGAACTTCAGCAGTTTGTCCCTTGAGTTTGACTTTTAGACAATAGTTTTGAATTAATTTCAGATTTCTAGAAGATGGGAAAGGCTGTTCAGAGAGTTCCTACTTGCTCTGTGCTGGCTTCTGCTGCAGAAGCCGGACGTTTGTCAAAGCTGAGACATTAAGCAGTGGTCACAGTACGCTTAACTGTACCACTCAGTTCAATTCCATTAGTTGTTTTCTTTCCAATTTTTTCTTTTGGGGATGTAGGACTCTGGGCTGACCAGGGTAACTAAGTGTGGCTGAGCAAAGTCGATCCAATCTGAGAAATCATGACATTCTGCTCCATGTTGTCATCCTGTCACTACTGTTGTGTTCCAGTGGTGGGTTCCTCTTCCCCCTCACTCCCTCCATGGCGAGTATGTGGAATTCTCGAAGGAATATTCATCCCTTCCCCCTCTATTTACTTATTCAATTATTCATCTCTATTGGAATGACCTTTCAGCTGTTTCTTTTGTTGGTTTTAAACCAATACTATCACTGTGTTGTTGCTGAAAGTATTCCAGGTTTATCCTCTGTCGGTTGAGCCCTAACATGTCACCACCCTGGTTTTTTCTTGTTTATGTTGACTTTTTCAGAGCAAGCAGTCCTGTAGGAAATGAACTCAAAAGCCAGTTAAAACACCTCCCTAAAACTCCATCAGATTTCATTATAAATGAATAGTGTTTTCCGTATTATGACAGGTCTCACCATTTTCCTTCAACCAGACGTGATTTAAATTTAGCACTTTGTGAGGCTCAGACGTTAGTAATGCTTGCCACCTACTTTCCTCCGTCTTAAGGCTAATGATGATTGTCTATGTTAGGTACTGCAAGAATCTAGAGTGTAAGACTCATTCAAAACTGTTCACATGAAGAGGTTTTGAGAAAACAGCAAGAGATGGGTAAAGCTCCCAGTGCAGTTGTCCGCGATGGAACAATACATTCTGTCCCTTCGCAAGATTACCATTGAAAATGGACTGGAGATGTGAGTTTGGTAGAGTTTCTGGTGAATGGAATCGTGTGATGGTAAGAGATTTTCTTAGCCTACTGAGGATATTCTTGTATCCACCCTGAACTGAGAATCAGGAAGCTACAAAAAACTCAGGAATGCAGGCACCTGCTGTGAGCAGCCTAACTGACTGCCAGTGTGTTGCTGAACCAGGTTGGTCTGGACTGGGTTTGGAGAGGAAACTTCCCATCCAGCTCCCTGCCTGTGGCCTGGGAAAGCAGTCAAGGACGACCCAATGCTTTGGGACCCTGCACCCACGTGGCAGACCCAGAAGAAGCTCCTGGCTCCTGGCTTCGGATTGGCTCAGCTCCAGGCATTGCAGTCACTTGGGGAGTGAATCAGCAGATGGAAGATCTTCCTCTCTGTCTCTTCTCCTCTCTGTATATCTGACTTTCCAATAAAAATAAATGAAACTTTAAATAAAACTTTTAAAAAAAAAGGCAGAGAGAGAGAGACAAAGACCATGCTTCCGTTGATTGATTCACTCTCCCAAATGGCCAGCGCTGCAGCAGACCAAAGCCGGGAGCCCTATCTGAATCTCCCATGGGGGGACAGTGACCCAAGTGCTTGGGGCAGCGCCTGTGTCTTCCCAGGGTGTGCGTTCGCAGGAAGCTGGACCACAAGCAGAGCTGGACTTGAGGGCCTGTGGCCTACAGGTGTCATGACTGGCGTCTAAGCCGTTCATACTGCTACAGCCATCACAGGATGTTATTTCTTTGATTGTAATTTTTCCTGGTACTATTCCACAGGCACAGGGATTCCTCCCCTCCTCCCCTCACCCCTCCCACGGTCCCCCTCTTTTATTACAGTGATATAGCCCTTCAGTTACAGTCACAAGTCCAATGTTCTGCTATATATCCTGACATTGTGGGTATAGACAGTTGTGGAAAGTCCAGCATACTATTGTCAAGATATATTTAACAGTTTCATTTGGAGTTCTCATTTTATTTCAGAGATGCATACTGCAACACATCTTCACTAGCAAGTTACTGCTTTAAAAATGGTGCTGGAGACGGTTCAATGACTGGATAGAGAAATGTCAACACGTGTTAACATATAGTATATTTCAGCAGCCCTGAACATGGCAGGCAATGATGAAACCATAAAGCTAAGGACAGGATTGCTGAGCAGTTATTTGACTTGAGATTGGGAAAGAGATGTAAGTGAATGACGTGTGGGGTTGAACCCTGACATATTGGCAGGACTGGCCAGATAGAAAATGAGGATGTCTGTTTTGTTCAAAGAATTTAGCCTGGGATATTTAAAAGGGAAGAGGCAAATACTTGGACAGTTGCCACTGACACCGGGTGAATCTGCTCTAAGAGCTGTTAGATGAAGGGTCTGAGAGAATAGGAGCAAAGGAGTTGGAAAATTTGCGAAAGGACACGAGTGGATACGGAGTCATATTGGGTTCTGCTTCATTAAAATCAGAGGATTGAAGATGGGGATTATATCAAGGACGGAGTCACCTGTGGAAGAGCTGCTCATTGTGACCCCTGGTGGCATGAGGCTGAACTGCACCTTGCTGCTTGCAGATTTATGCAACGGATGGTGCTAACTTTAGTATCTACTGCAGGAGCCTTCCAGCACCTGGACCTCGAAGACCTCTGACCTGCCCCCTTCCAATTAACTTGTTCTCTACTCAGCTGCTGATCAACACTTGCGTAGTCAGGTCCCAGCTGTTGTCACCCCAAGCACAGCTTCTCACATGGATTCTAACATCTCACCTTCAATTTTTGACCTCACCAGGCCCACTCGTGGCTGCTTTCACTGCTGACCCTGTCATCCCTCCCCACCCAGCTTAAACACCGAGGTCATCTCATTGTAGGAATTTCACAAAAATGTTTATGGGAAAATAGAATGAAAATTTTATGTTGGCACCAAAAAAAAAAAAAAATCGCTGTTAAAATCCAGGCATGGCTTTTTCATAGTATGCATTTATCATGTTCTTTCTGAAGACTTGTAAATATGGTTTCAGCATTGTTTTACACCAAAATAAACTCTTTTAATTTTATTTCCATCAGCTTTTTTGAGGTACCCTTGTAGCTCACACACACACATTTATAAAAGAGATGATGGAGAAATACTGACTTTGGCCTCAGCGATAACATCACGTTTTTTAAGCAAAAAGGGGGCACTTACTTCCTATCTGGGGGTGTTCTTACTTGGGGGTGGGGTGGCTGGGGTGTTCCCCTTCTCCTCCTGTTAGGGTACCAGGAGTTTCCTTGCTCCGAGACCACTGTTGAGAACAGATCTGGGAATATTTCCTCACCTCTGTCCACCTGCTCTTTGCATCTGTCCGACTGAGTCCCAACACCCTCCGCAGGCAGAATGGGTCCTCACGTCTCCCGCAATGGGTGATGGGACTCAGGAGAGCACCTGTCTGCCACAACCATGATGCTCCTGATGCTCCATTCGTCCCAAAAGGTTATGGGGCCCATCAGCCTCTTCCTGCCTCCCTGGCCCCCACTGGAGACCACACCCATGACGTTTTGTGCCGGGATCTCCCCTGCAGTCTCGGCCCGGAGCCAGAGCAGAGGGTGGCATGGTGGTGGCGCTGGTCTCGGTCTTTCACTAGTTGGTGGACTCCAAGTCTGTCCTCCCCTGCCCCCAGTGCTAGCAATGGGTCTGGCCCATTGCTGTAATTGACAGGCACATATTGGATGTTGGTGGAAGCCCCAGAGTGGCCTGACAATCGCAGACATCTCTGCCTTCATGGTCACACTTAGTCCCCACAGCACTCTCTTGCATGATAAGGTAATGAGAAACTAGGGGGAAGTGGTTGGACCCATACTATTCTGTAATAATTGGCCAACAGTTTACAAACTTAACTTGCTGGGTAGCATCCCATCTTTGCAGTGCGTGTGTCTGCTGCCACCTGGTGGAATCAACTTCCAACAGCAGCTTCATCTCTCCTTGTTGGGGAGATTCATTCCTGACTTGAGCAGGTGGTTTTAGGAAGATAAGTGGGGGCCCCCTGCCTGTGTCCCTTAGGTTTTCCTAGAGCTGAGTGTGAGGTGTAGGGGAACAGGAGCTGGGGTGGTGTTCCTCAGGCCAGATGCCAAGTTTGGAAAGAGTTCAGAAATCAGATCAACGAGCGTGGCAGGTGGAATAGAATGAATCCAGTACTTCATGAGGACTGAGACCCCTTGCGGAGTTCCTGGCTTTTGGAAAGTCAGATATGCAGAGAGGAGGGGAGCCAGAGAGGAAGATCTTCCAGCTGATAATTTACTCCCCAAGTCGCTGCAACTACTGGACCTGAGCCGATTCGAAGCCAGGATCCTGGAGCTGCTTCTGGGTCTCCTACGTGGGTGCAGGGTCCCAAGGCTTAGGGCTGTCCTCGACTGCTTTCCCAGGCCACAAGCAGGGAGCTGGATGGGAAGTAGGGCTGCTGGGATTAGAACAGGTACCCATATGGGATCCCGGTGTGT